TACACCATGATACACATAATATAATATGATATGTAGATCTATGTAGGTATATGGCATTCTTTGTTGTGCTAATCGTTTTATAATATATTTCCGGAGCATTCTAGGTAAGCTTTTAGATCCCGCCCGATAATTGCCTTATCACTAAAGCTTGAACGTATTGCCCGAGATTGGAAATGCAATAAGAATATGCAAATACAATTTCACAAATAACGCTGACACAGCTGTTTGCTAATCACATTTTCCTGCACAAAGGTCGAAAACAACATCCCACCCTAAGCCCCGAGCAATGTACACATGCATTATATCATTATTGCTGGTAATCTTCTCTAAACCGATCAGCTGGAATCAAACCATTTCATGTATACCGCTCTGTCAATATTTTCTAACCGTAACGACAAATTCATGTTTATAAACCAGATGTATTTCACCAATCTGAGCGGCTATTACCCATAAATGCTTACGAGTTGAAAATAATTAGTTGAAAAACTTTTTTTTAATGTTTTAATTTTAACAATTGATTGAACCCCATGACACTTATGATATGATCAACAGAAAATGGGTGTTATGAATAATTTCTTCAACACTGCTTTTTCCGTTTTAGAAAAGCCATTACGAAAAAAGAAGACGAACAGAGAAAGCGACACATTACGAGGAAGACGGGAATGGTTGAAGGAAGGGGAAGAAAAGACAAGGAATCAACAGAATAGACGAAAAGAAGACAAGAGAGAGAGAGAGAAGGGGGAGGGAGAAGAGACAGCGAGAAAGAAAGAGAGAGAGAGAGATAGAGAGAGAGGGAGAGAGATAGAGAGAGATAGAGAGAGGGAGAGAGATGCATAAGAAAAATAGCAAAGTAAGAAGAAGAGGCAACAGAAGGATAACAATAAACATGTGAAACACGGCGTGGAGAGATCCACTTTCTTATCACAACAAGCTATAATAACAAACATAATAATAACTTGAGCAACGTCGTACTTTTCTCTATTTTTTTAGATCACAAGATTTACAATTCTTTTTGGCCCTATAGGTTGTAACAATCGCACGCCTTATTATAAACCTTTGGCATTGTTCTCTTTACCTTTACACCAGTATTCCCTCAGTTTTCAACACAAAACATCTAAGAATTAGACTAGTCTTA